CTGTCGCGATATTTGATGCTAACTCTTTTAATAATAACAAAATATAAAGTTGTTTTCAAATATATGAATTGTGTTATACTGTAAACAGGAAATATTTGGCGAGTGGTAAATTGAATTCAATTTAAATTCAAGGTTATTTAATCTTTTCGTTACGGCAGTAGCTCATTTTTCCCAAAGAGACATTCCTTGTTCTGGTCGTGTCGCAGCTCACGTTTTATTACAGCCTTCTTGAGCCCCTTTACTTTTCTGTTTTTAGAAACCATTGAAAGTTTATGCCTTCTAATTTTGATTAGTCTTATTATAATGTAACGAGCACGAAATCATTACATGGAAAGTTGCGCTATGTATAGTTTGATTATTATTATTATTACCAGAGGTGTTTACTTCATGATGGGTATTTCTTCCTCAAGGGTGGGGCTCAGACCGTAAACCTGTCCTTGTTATCACTTGATGGCTAGAACTTTCCGGAGAACGTGCGCAGTTCCCAACGGTGCTGGGTTTTGAATTTCGTAGAGATTTACGTTTCCTGATACATATATTTCACTGATGAACTTCTATGAACCTTTGTTAATTTCCCCTATAGCGCCTAGGAGCACTAGGATTGTTGCGCTTTTATCTGCCTCTCTCTTTTGATTTCTATTTCAAGATTTCTACACTTGGATAATTTCTGGAAATGCTAGGTGAAAGGGTTTGGGTTATTATTATTATTATTATTATTATTATTATTATTATTGAAAATTCACACAGCTATTGATGGTACCTTCAGCACATNATAGAATTATTGTCCCATATCATGGGGACAGCCCCAATACTAGAAATGGCGCGCGCTTACGGTCTCCGTCTCCGATTATGGCTCCTGATGGAAAGTGGTGCTATGTATAGTTTGATCATCATCATCATCATTATTATTATTATTATTATTATTATTATTATCAGAGGTGGTCACTTCATGATGGGTATTTCTTCCTCAAGGGCGGGGTTCAGACCATAAACCTGTTCTTCTCATCACTTGATGGCTAGAACTTTCCGGAGAATGTGCGCAGTTCCCAACGGTGCCGGATTTTGAATTTCGTAGAGATTTACCTTTCCTGATACATATATATTTACTGATGAACTTCTGTGAACCTTTGTCAATTTCCCCTAAAGCGCCTAGGAGCACTAGGATTGTTGTGCTTTTATCTGCCTCTCTCTTTTGATTTCTATTTCAAGATTTTTACACTTGGATAATTTCTGGAAATGCTAGGTTAAAGGGTTTGGGTTATTATTATTATTATCATTATTAATATTAATATTATTATTATTGAAAATTCACACAGCTATTGATGGTACCTCAAGCACATTACGACCACCATTATTCCCTAAATTGTACGACACGAGTTCCAATCACTAATTAGTCGTATTTAGAACAAACTTCGGAATTAAAAATATCTTTTGATATATTCTTTTGAGCGAAAAAGTCAGTAAGTTTTGAAAACTCGAGGAAACATTGCGAAGGAAGCTATTAAAGCGCGCGTAATTGACATGCGAATCACGTGGGTATCCAATTATAAAAAGCTTTAATTGGATACCTACACACACGTGATCGCGCGCCAATTACGTGAAAAAAAGGCGCGTGGAGAACCAATCACGATCGAGGATTTTGTTATACATACAATTATTATTAAAATCGTTATAATTATTACTATTATCATTGCAGTTGTTCCACCGAATTAAGGATGGAAAGCTGGCTTTATACAGTTCCCGCTTTATTTGCAGTATTAGTGTGGAAACCGAATGGTATATATATCTTTCCTTCTTTCTTTTTGCAATCAAAATATTTTGTAGTTGATCGGCCAGTTATGCAGTTTTGGTATCTACACACTCAGTGAGATAAAATGGTTCTTAGTGTTTTTCTTTCAAGGCATCTTTGTTGGTTCGTTATCGCTGGCTAATGTATGAGCATTATTGCATGCTTGAGTTGAGCATTTATATAACCTGATCAAAACTGTAAGAGTTCACTGAATGCTACTACCTTTAAGGGC